CAGTGGGGGGGGAAGGTGTCCCGGGGGGGGGTGTCCCCAAGGAATGTCCCCAGGGCTTGTCCTCAAGGTGCATCTGCAAGGAGATGCCCTCAAGGGGTGTCCCCAAGGGGTGTCCCCAAGGAGATGTCCCCAAAGGGTGTCTGCAAGGGGTATCCCCAAGTTGGTGTCTCCAAAAGGGGTGTCACCAAGAGGGGAGGTCGCCAAGGGGGTGTCCCCAAGGAGAAGGGGGGGGGTATCGTAAAGGGAGTGTCACCAAGGGGATGTCACCAGGGGTTGTTCCCAAGGGATGTCCCCGGAGGATGTCACATGGGGTGTCACCAAGAGGATGTCACCAAGAGGTGTCCCCAAGGGATGTCCCCACGGGGGACCACAAGATGTGTCCCCAGGGGATGTCCCCAAGGGGGTGTCACCAAAGGGGTGTCCACCAGAGGTGTCTACAAGGAGCTATGACCAAGGAGGTGTCCACCAGGGGATGTCCCAAGGCATGTCCCCAGGGGATGTCTCCAAGAAGGTGTCCCCCAGGGATGTGTCCCAGGGATGTCCCCAAGGAGGTGTCCTCAAGGGATGTCCCCAAGGAGGTGTCCCCAGGGATGTCCCCAAGGAGGTGTCCCCAAGAAGGTGTCCACCAGAGGATGTCCCCAGGGATGTCCCTAGGGGTGTCCCCAAGGGGTGTCCCCAAGGGATGTCCACCAGGGATGTCCCCAATGGAGTATCACTAAGGGATGTCCCCAAGGCAGTGTCCCTGGGAGATGTGCCCCAGGGATGTCCCCAAGGGATGTGCCCCAGGGATGTCCCCAAGGGACGTCCCCAAGGAGGTGTTCCCAAGGGATGACCCCAGGGATGTCCCCAAGGTGTCCCCAGGGATATCCCCAAGGAGGTGTCCCCAAAGGGTGTCCCTAAGGGGTGTCCCAAAGGATGTCCCCAGGGATGTCCCTGTGTCCCCAGGCTCAGAGTACACCCAGGCTGAAGCCCTGATCCTCACCTACTCCCTCAACAACTTCCTCCCCGAGGACCCGCGGCGCCAGTGGGTGCTGGGCTGGGAGCAGCAGTTCCTGAGGGTCATCCAGGACTTCCAGAGGTCCCACCCCAACCTCTCCATCGCCTTCATGGCTGAGGTCAGGACCCACCAGCTCACTCAGGG